CATCGTGGGTCCTAGTGACTGTGCCAATGGACAGGAGTAGGGAAAGGCATCAGAAATGAGACTGGGCTTCTTCCACTTGGATTTCCAAAGATTGTTCTTTCTCTGTGTCCAGGCCTTCTCTTGCTTGATTTTACTGGACTTGCTGAGCATGCCTGCTGTATTTGTTTTAGAAGGTAGGTAGACATGGGAAGAATGTTGGGGTGAGCAAATTTCCCAGGTTCTGGTGGAAGGTAAGACCACGCGGGATGCAGGAGCCAAACCAAACCACACTTCTTGCTCTGATTCCACAGGAGTCACTTTGACAAGCGTGTGTTTATCATTCTGAGAGGCGCTGTGAGATGATCTTGTAGACATGCTGAAGGGAGGGTAGCACTCTAAACTCTAATTTCAGTTCATGCTTAAGGAGACTGAATATGGAAGCAATGAAACTTCTTGAGATTCCTTTTCCTTTGTTGAGAAATAAGCCAGTAGAATGACTGATTTATCCATTCATTCAGGGAACAGAAACAAAATATGCTAACAAAATAATAATGGTCTGTTGCTCTGTGCAGTTTCCCAAGAAGGAAAGCAATGTTGGTATCCCTGTGAATATTGGCATGGAAATCTGAGATTCTCTTGTATTTATTCACCTACTCAAAATTACTGCATTATAGTGAAATATCTCAGAGGTCTGGAAGGCAAGTCATTTTCAAGCCAGTCATCACCTAGGAAACTTCTCTACACGTACACGCACACACACACACACACACACACACACACACACTCAAGTCTCATGACAAACAGTGAAGGAAATCTCTAGGGGAAAGGCCCTATTCCTTGGCCTTTCATAAAATTGCCCATGTGTTTCTGAAGCACAAATGGAATTGAGAGCCACTAGAGCTGCTCAAACTTTAAAATGCATTTGTAGCATTTGAAAGCCCTGAGCAAACATTAGTCCATCATCCTGGCAGGTTCTCAGGTGCTAGGGCTGGTTCAGGACCTCCACTTTGATCTACACTGCCCTCTATTGAACTCTGAGTGATACTCAGATGAACGGTAATCCACAGACCAAGGCAGAGGCAGAAGCGCGCACAGATCTTTGTTGCAAGGCATTGTCCTGAAGGCCACCGAGCTCTCTGGTTCATGAGTTCTGAATACTTGCTAGGAGAGCACAAAGGCTGCTCAAAAGATGCTGTGGTTAACCTTTGTTTTTTCCTGGGATGAGTTGGATTTTCCTAGGGGAATGGCAGGAAGGAAGAGATGCTGGACAACACAGCAGGCATGGGGTCATTGAAATGGACTGCCAGATAGAGATGTGCATCAGGTTCCAAAGTTAAATGTAAGGAAATGAAGAGGGAACACAGCTCCTTAGTCAGTGTTATATTGATGGAATGTAGGAATGACAGTTTTGGGATATAGTGAGTTAAATAAAGTTATACTACGGTGAATTCTGCTTGTCAGTTTACTTTTGCAATACAGCTCCAAGAAAATCAGAAAGGTCACTTGTGGCTTCCACGGTATGTCTGCAGGTCAGCAGCACTGTGCGCTGAAGGAGCTGTGCTGGCAGCAACATGCGTCATGGCCTTTTCAGTCCTGCCTGTGGCATTGACAGTCTCCAGGTCTGACTTCCACAGTCTGGAGAAAACCCAGAACAAGAGGGTCCCTTTTTGTTTAGATGTAGGCATCTCCACTCTGCCCTAAGTCCTGTACCATCTTGTTGACTATCATACTTCGAAACTGGGATGTAAGCATTGAAACAATTTATTATTCAGACAGGATTACATAGGGCAAAGCATATAATTTTGATAGTAGTGTGAATTCTGTTTCTGCTGTGACGTTCAGGATTCAGTGGGAGCTGAGCCACTTACTGACATATCTCTATGTTTTAAAACATCAAATCGTTGAGGCTTCCAAGATGTGTATCCTGCCGAAAATGGCAAGACCTCTGAATTTTAAGTGCATCTCAAAAACTCAGTTTAGTGCTGCCTTCTTCTCATTAAATGGGACCTTTTGTTCCATGCTGGACAGTGGCATTCAGGAAAAGAGCCAAGTAGGATGCTTTTGGCATAAGTTCCTACCTGCTATGGGCCAAGGTTTAGCTAGGTTTTGTTTTTGTTTGGGGTGCCTTTGAATTCATTTTTCATTCTAGTGTGTCCAATGAATAGTATCTATCTGAGTGAAGAGAAGCCTTTATGAGGGAACATGCAGATGTACCTTTGATTTGACAATAAAGAGTTGCCCCAAACACTGCCTGACAAGGAAGAAGCAAGTTGTCCTGTTAACACTTAACATTCCTTTACTTGTATTTACTGCAGCTTTCCACTGTGTTCTGGTGCTTCACTGTAGAAGTGAATTACTAAGGCTGTAAGGGTCAACAGTATCTCTGGTGAACAGACAACTGTTTGAAAGCACATCTGGGTTCCTTGCCTTCCACTCTTAGTCAGAAATGAAAAGGCGGGCTTCTTTGGGCTCCCATTGTGAACAATCAAAGACAAATGGACATGCAGAATGTACTTGAAGCTATTCTTACTGTACAGTCTGGGCATGGGGAGTAAAAAGGTATGTCATTTTCTTAGGAAGGGATGACAGAACCAGTTTACAGAGCTGAGATGGGAAATGAGTGGCTTTCATATTTCTCTTGGACTATAGGCTGACTTGTTTGGACCCCAGTGTTTGGTCTGTAACATATCCTCAGTTTAAACTAACTTCATGTTTTTAAAAAATTAGGAGATTTTGTATGAAAACAGTAGAGACACTTGGCTTTGTATGGGAACTCAGAATGTCTTATTTCCCTATGTCCATGATGAACTTGAGGTAGGAGGCAGCCTCCTCCTCCCCCTTAATTGAGGTGTCCATTGTGATCCAGTTACTCTTAATCTTGAGACCAGGCAACCCTGATGATCTTACTCCAGCTGATTCTACCTGCCACGTGAGTTTATTAGGCTAGTCCGGAAAGGACTTCTATTCCAGCAAGGAAAAAATATGTTTGCTCAGTTCCCTTCATGCATTTGATGCTGGGAGGTATTAACTGAGGCTTAGGCTTAGAGGCTCTGGCATCTCGCCTTGCTTCTGCCCACATCCCAGCACAACATCCACATGAATCCTATTCATGAAAGGGGTGCATCGGCCAGCACAGATGTGAAGGAGGTTCCCAGGCCAGTGGTGTGGGTGACGGAGGAAAGAGGGGAGACTCTGGAAACACTTAATAGGGTTTTCCAGGTTCAGGAGCCAAAATGGATTGGATGGAATGCAGAAGAAAGAGAGATTAAGAGGCTTGAGCCCCTGGGAAGATGTTAGGACTGCTGAGGAAGAGAGGGGAATCAGGGTCAGGCCCCAACAGACTCTGCTTCTGCATGGATAGTCAAGAAGTTGGTGCGCACAATGTCCAGTGAGTTCATTTCCCACCAAAATGGATCTATTTGTTACATTAGCTTATTTTAAGGATTAACTTAAATTACTATGTAAAACTACCTACATTTGAAGAAGCCTCTTCCTATACAGGAGGTCTTAGAGAATCTGTTCTATTCATCACTGTGTTCCTAGGTCATAAATGACATCCACTAAATAGCATATGCACAAGAAGTACTAGTTGAAACAATGAATTAATAAGTTAAAGATAAGCGGCATTTGTGTGTCTTTATTTCAAATTCAACTGCTTCTAAAGATTTGCATCTTTAAACACGTTGCTTTTATCCATCTCTGCTGCTTGCCCCTCTTCTGCAGCCTCTACCAGTTGTGCACACATCAAGTGAACATTTACACTAGATCGATGCATGTAAGAAGGCTTGTGGTTTGAAATGATCCCGATTTTTCAGCTTTTAATATTCAAGTTGTCTCTACTTTTCATTTTGACACCCATTTGTAAGGTTCATGAAATGAAAAATAACTTTTTTAAAGCAAGTATACAGAGTGCTTTCTTCACAGAGCTTTACTGATGGTTTTTCTTTAAGGAACAAATGGCTTTTGGGTATGACCCTATGATGATTGTCAAAATGCCCTACCGAGTCAAGGATCTTGTGTATGCCTGTAGGTGCTGTTACATGTACTGGGGGCTGTTGCCATCTTTAGAAGACTTTGTAATCAATTATATAAGCTTTATACACATTATATGAGCGGTAAACAAATACATTCTTATAACAAGGATGCATATAATGTAAAATAAATGTCCCTGCGTCAATGATCTTTTTCAAAGCCCAAACCCTACCCCGAAGGTAATCCTAGTGAATTTTTAGCTGCATGGAATATTCAGAAAGTTCATAGAAAAAAATCTACATCTTGAGTTCATCTTTTTTGTATCAAAATGAGCTCCTTTTGAATTTTTTATTTTGGTGAACTTTCTGAAGTAACTTCGCATATCCTTTCAAACTTTTTTTCTGGATAGTTATGGCACAGATCTGTGTAGCTATGAAGATAAGCATTTCTTTGAACATAAACTGCATCCTACTATACATAATGCCAAATACATACTCAAAAAAATTGCAGAGTGGTGTGTCTTGGAAAAAGTATAAGACGATGCATATGTATCTACCTAAGTGTTTTTAATTACAACATGGCATGCTGAAATATGCATCTATTTTAGCTTTCTTAAAATGCTGCTTGCTTCATGGACATTAGCTTTGTTTTTCGCTTTTCACTGCTATCAACAATGCCACAATGGACAGCCATGGCCTTGCCCCTTAGTGAAAATACATGAGTCACTCTACAAAGCATCAGTTGCATTAGAATTGCTGCTGTAAAATATGTGCATTTAAAATTCTGATAGCTCCTTTACATTTGTTCTTCCAAAAAGCTATTCCAATTTACTCTTTTGCTAAGATGCACGATTCACTCTTTTTCTACTGCCCTGACTAAACCAAATATTACCATTTTTTTGTAATCATACATTTCATAGTTAAGAAAGTGAAATCTCATAGTTATTTCAGATTTCATGATGGATGCCCGTTGAGGTGGATCTGTGTGATGATGGGAGCCTGGTTTATGGTTTCCACGTGTCTAAATGTTTCCCTGCCCTTCCGTTTCAGATGCTCACTACCTCACCTGCAGGATCCAGGAATGTGCTGAGACGACCCGCAGTGGACCCTTTGCCCGCTCTATTGACATCAGTTCCCTGGTTGTTCAGGATGAATACATCTTCATTCAGGTGAGTAGAAATAGTACGATCAGCTGTCTGCTCAAAATGAGGTTTGCTTCCCTGAGATGGTGAGGATATGCACCTGTTCCTCCTTTGCTTGAAGAGCCAGTTCCCTAAGGAGATCCCAGACGTCTATTGAAAAATGAAGGTGTCGTCGCTCAGTCCTTGGCACAGGCAACATTAGTGGCCCACTGAATCCTTCAGGTGAATTGCTGTTTTATGATATCAGAGCTGACTTGAAGTGATTAGGTCTTAGGCTGGGGTTTGAGGTTATTTGAAGTCAAATGCCTAATGGGCTTTGGCTTTCAGTAATTTATCAAAGCCACCTTCTGTTTCTTTCCAAAGTGACTTGTCTCGCTTGGGAATGAAAGTTCCAAATAAATTAAGCATCTCCAGTGTTTTCTTTTTGGAAAAGCCTAGAATTCACTAAATCTTTTCTCTCCTTTCCCAGTGCTTACAACCTCTTCAAATATCCAAGTCCCCAATCCTTTTAGAGTCAGAATTCTGACTCTTCGAAGAGAGCTGATTGAAACTCGTATTTTTAGGCAGCCAAGGAAGTATTTTAGGTTTTTATTTCCTTCTAATACAGTGAATCCTGTGTGTTAGGAGGAGATGCAGAAATGAGGTTGAACAAAAAGATGAAGCTCTACTGAGTGGCTATGTATACGTGTTTACATACACGTGTGCGTGTGTGTATTTGTGTGTGCATGTATGTTTGTGTCCATGGAGACAAGTTTGACAATGGCCTTGATTTCCTCCTCTGCCTCTCCCCTCTTCTACTGTCAGCTGTTTTGTAAACTCTTTCCTACAGGAAATTAGAATTTTGAAACCTCCCTGGATTTGCTCTGTTCTTGGCAGATGAGTGTCTCTGTGTCACCATTCAGTCCCAAGGAATCTTCAAGCTGGGTGTCACTCACTCACCCTCTGGTGAACCCTATCGTCTATTCCATTCCTGTGGCACACAGGCCATTGCTAGCCAGGAATTATTAAATTAGAATGCATTCATCTTGTACGTTCAACATTTTATTCTACACAAAGGGGAAGGACCATTTTGTATGCACATACCCTGGCCCTAAGAAATGCTCTTTACAAAATATGGGTGCTATATGAGTTGTTGCATTGAGAGATTTTGTATGTAGTAGTTTTTTTTTATGTGGTAGTTACTTCCTTTTATAATTTGGTTGTGTGGATTTTTAAGGTCTAGTAAAATACAATCCCAACTCTACTGTTTCCTGTCCGCTCTCTGCTAATAAAACAATGAAAATGACCCCAGTGTTTGAGTCTCTGTCATTGCTGTAGGAGACCTAGGCAGAGCTCCAGGCTCTTGATTTTGGCTTGGCCCAGATTCAGTTGTTGTGGCCATTTGGAAAGTGAACCAGCAGGTGAAGTGTTTGTTCTAGCTCGCTCTCCCTCTAGCTCTCTCGCTCACCCTTTCTGTTCTTTTGTCTTACTCCCTCCATCCTCTTGGACACTCTGCCTTTCAAAGTAACCAACCAACCAGTCTTTTCAAAAGTATGAATTGGTTGGCCGTTAGTTTTTCATGAGTACTTTTCTGCTTTCAGGTAACTGACCATTTGTGCTGCCAGCTGTGACAGACATACCCTGGTTCTGGCAGTGTATGCTTAATGTGCAAATTATTACCTTAAAGAAATAAACTCTCAATTTCATAGGCTGTTTTCCTTGCTTCCCTTACTTTTCCTTTGCTGTGTTGGATACTAGAGTTCTATTTTGACTGCTTAGCTTTGTAGCTTTCACATACTGAATATTTTTAGCTTTATTTAACATACTGAATCGTCTATGTAGGGGCAGCATTGCTGATTCCATCTTAAAAGCTGCTTGAAAATTAGTGTATTTCCATGTATTTTTTTCTTCCTGCTTGGAATACTTCCTTAATTTAATCAAATACACCATTCCCTAGTGTTCGTTTTTCTATAATATATAATTCTGTTATCCTTAAATATTTTATAAAGCACAGCTGTAGCAGTGGGAAGAAATACAGCAAATGTTCATAATTTCCCATTATAGCCCCTGCTTTCTACCTCAGGTTTTGATAGCTGTATCCTTGCAGTGTGTTCATTGCGCTGGGGGCTTTTTTCCTGTATTTATTTTGATCTTCAACCAAGGATAATTCTAGAAATTGAAAACATACTTATCTGTTTACTTTACATTTCAGTTTCTCAAGCTGTAAAAATTACGGATCTTTTTTTTTTTCCATGAGCATTGACTCCATTAATGTCTTAGATGTTACATCAGATTTGTCTGATATTCTCTTTCAGATGTCTTGATTTATATTTTTATTTTGTGTGTGTGTGTGTTATCTTTGTTGTGCCTTAGGTACCTAAACTGCTTTTTGTTCACGGTTTGACATCAATTATTTTATTAGCATGTGCGTTGGGATTGGTCATGCTGGGTGGATTCTTTCCTGTGGATAAGGAAGTTATTCTGTCGAATAAAATGTGTTTTTTCTCTCTTTTTCATTTCTCCAAAGCTTATGTGACTCTTACCTTGAAAGATGTATTTTATTTCTGTTTCATTATTTTGACGGTCTTCCTCCAGGACACCTAGGGTGTGTTCAGAGACAGGGAGGACAAAAGAGAAACATCATTTCCTCCATCACGTAGTCCACTATGACCAACTGAGCAAACTGGGAAAAGTGGAACACTATAGCTTTGCTTACATTTCCCTTGAATATTTGTTCATGTTCTTTTGACCCTCTTCTCCCTTGCTACTTCTAACTTCTGAGTTTTGCCAACTAATGCTTTATCATTTTTGTTGTCTCAGAACTCTTGGTGTTTCAGAGTTAATTTTTTTTTCTGAGTTAAATTCTTTCCTTGAGGTGTGGGCACAAGTTTCATTGGCTCTGTGGAGGCATGCTTTGTTCTTTGCTGATGTTGTGCTTTTTCTGTCCCATTTCTTTTGCTTTGCTGCGTTTATTATTGTTGTTGTACAGTTTCTCTTTTGTCTTTGTGTTCTCAGCTACTGCTTCCTTCCTAAGGAATGGCATGAATTCTTGGACAGCTCTTTCAGTAGGATCATTTTGGTGGTAGATCAGGGCATCCTCTGAGTTGACAAGACCTACCCTGTCCCTTGGGCTGGGAGTGGGGTCTGCTGCAGAATTGCTGCCCCAGGGCTCTCCAGGCACTCGGGCCTCTCTAGCTTCTCCCTCCCACTGCCAGGCTCAGGGCCACATTCCCTTGGCTGCACAGAACAGAGGCCTGGCTTCCCCCCTTGGGTAGCATCATGTTTGAACAACCACGTTTTTCAGGCTTGGTGGGAGATTGGGGACTTTAGACATTTTTGCTATGCTGACTGTCCACGCTTTGGTTCTTTCTTACTGCATTTGGTTTCTTCCTACTCAGATTGTTTTTCAGGGTTAAATTTTTATTAAGTCTCGGGTTTTTATTTTTCTTTCTTGTTTTTTCTTGCTTTGGGGTGATTTATATGATGAACAGAGGGTAAAATACCATCATTAATTAGTTATTTAATATCATGTATAAACACTTATCATGTGTTTTCTGAAATGTTGCAAATGCTTGCCAACTGTTCGCCATGCTTGTAGACTAACTCTCCTTCCCAAATCCATCCACAACACCACTTTCAAGGTTGTGTATCTAAAAGAAAAATCCGTGTTCCTACCTTCAGTGGCTGCTCAAAACCTAGAGGTGGAAATCCAATTTCCTTACCATCACCCCTGGGGGCCTCTTTGGCATGGGTCCTGCAGATCCCATCAGCCTCGGGTGAATCCCATATATCAGCGTTTCCCATTCACCTTTCTTGATTTAACTTACCTTTCAACACACATAAGCCTTTTTTTTTTAATTCACACACACATGTGCTGTTTCCCATCCAATATACCTTTCTTATAATTTTTCCCCTTGCTTGGAGTAGTCCGTGATCAGGTCACCTCATACTTTCAGTATAGACAAATCTCCTATTAAAATATCATTGTTGATATTCTCAGTTGGGATCGGGCCAAGCTCCAGCACCTTTGCTATTCTGTTCATCTGATGTCTCCCCATCCAGGTTTGCAAGCTCCAAGAGGACCTAGTCTATGCCTTATTTATCTTTGTTTCTTCTGCGCTTAGCATAATGACTAGTATTCAATAAACGTTTGTTGAACTCGTAAGATAAGACGCCTTCCTTATTCACAGGGAGTGTGGCTCTGGTTATCTTTTTCAAGCAAGGAAATCTTGTTTCTGCACCGAACAATATAAGACAACTTGAGGTAATTGGCAATTGCTCACCGCATAAGAAATGTTCATATGTAGACCGTTTCTGCATTTGTATGAAACTGCTGTCCAGGAATTACCCAATATGTGATTCAACACCTTTTTTATATTCATTCATTTAAATATATTAAAATACATTCAGCCCAGAGGGGAGCATAGACAACTACACAATTATAATGTAGTGCTGTGAAATCTGTATTAGTGGAAAGTACATGTTGCTCTTGGAGAAATGAAGAAGAGACCCCCCCCCTGGGTCGAGGGTTAGTACAGGCCTTGTGGGACTATGAGTGCACGTGCAGGGGATGAAGGAGAGGGGCAGATGTTCGACCTAGCATGCTGCCACCCACATCCTATATTGGAAGTGCCGGGGCTCAGTCCTTGCTCTGCCTCTGATCCAGAACTCCTACTAGTGCCTACTTTGGGAGACAAGTAATGGCTTCAAGTCTTAGCTCCTTGCCAAAGTGGGAAACCTGGAATGGCTTCTGTATTCCTGACTTTGCCTGACCCAACTTAGGCAGTTGCAGGCATTTGAGGAGTTAACCAGTAGATGGAAGAGTTCTGTCAGCATCTCTGTTTCTTAAATGAAAAAAAAAATTAAAATAAAAACATAGATAGGTGAGAGGGTGGAGGGAAGGAGGTATGCTGTGCAGAGGGGAGCGCGTGGAGGAAAGTATGAGGGCAAACATGGCACGGCAGCACTTCTCCAGTAAGGACAAGTGTGGGCAGTGGATGGAAGGATGGTGGGGCAGGAAAATAACTTAGAGAATTTCTGGAGAGCTC